GATATGACTGATACGGATTAGAACCAGCCTTCCCTTATTCATCGATTTCCACATGGGTGGGAGGCAGGGTGAGGGACACGATAGAGGGATGATAGAAAGGGAGCAGAATCTTTCTCTATTGATTTACGGAAGCAGGAAAGGACATTGGGAGCGAGAGAGAGAGACAGATGGACTGAGAGTAAAAGAAACGTATGGTGGGAGGAAGGTAGGGGATTGTTAAAGACAGAACCCTCCCCCCCTCTATCAGTTGCACAGAAGAAGAAAGGGAAGCAACAGGAACAGAAGTGACTGATAGAGATTATACGGTTCCTCTTTGTCATCATTGATTGTAGGAAGGGACGGGGTAGTGTAAGACAATAGGGCCCGAAGAGAGTTGTAAATTCAGGGATAAGTGATAGATGGATGCATGGGATGAATAAAGGAAAGTGGAGAAAGATAACAACATTAAGGATGCAGGAGGGGAAAAAAAGATCTTAAGTAAGAGTGAAGGTTAGGGCGGGGGGCTTAACAGTACTCACAGGGACCCTTTATTTTACTTAAGGAGAGTTGGTTAATGAAGGGGAAAGATGAGGTGTGGACATGGCGATGGAGAGGATGAAAGGGGGAGGTGAGAAAGAGTCTGAAGGGGGGGGTTGAAGAGGAGAAGGGAGATGATGAAGAGGTGTTGGAGAAAATTACAGCAAGAGTTGGAGACATGGAAGAAGGGAAGAGACACTTCACATTTGGGCTAAGTAGTCTCATTTAGGCAGCATGCATCTACCAAATACTCCGTGTCGATCAGAATCCCTTTGAAATCCTTGAAACAGCTCGAGTGAAAAGGACGGGACGTTTGAGATGTTATGTGTGTGTCTGTGTATGTGTATGTCAGTTAGGCCAAGAGAAAGAATAGTAGACTCTGTGTGTGTGTGTGTGTGTGTGTGTGTGTGTGTGTGTGTGTGTGTGTGTGTGTGTGTGTGTGTGTGTGTGTGTGTGTGTGTGTGTGTGTGTGTGTGTGTGTCAGTGCTGAACGTGATGGGGTGGTGTGTTTTATGGGTAAATTGAAGGGTCTGTTGAAGGGAGAGAGAGATGAGCCCCTCTTAGAGTGTGTATGCCTGTGTAGGTGTGTGTTTGTAAGTGTGTGTCTGTGTCACTTTCTGTGTGTGCGTATGCGTGTGTGTGTGCGTGCGTGTGTGTGTGTGTGTTCCCTCTCCCTTCAGTATCAGTCTCTTCTGCTTGATTTCCGCGCTCTCCTCTCTGCCTCTCCTCTGCTCGCTATGCCGTGAAATGGTTTTTCACTAGACCATTACCCCAACCAGTGCGCTACACTACTGCCACAGCCCTCTGTGAGCGAGGGGGAGTGTGTTTTTAATGTGTGTGCATGTGTGCGCCTGGAGAGAGTGGTGTGTGTATGGCTGTGTGCATGAGAGAGGCTATGCGTGTGTATGTGTATAGTAGCTGCACTTGAAAGAGAAAGAAAGAGAGCGAATTTTGGGGAAGATGGGTTTTGTGCATGTAGGTACAGGTGTGTGCATGTAACTGTGTGTGTGTGTGTGTGTGTGTGTGTGTGTGTGTGTGTGTGTGTGTGTGTGTGCGTGTGTGTGTGCGTGCGTGCGTGTGAGGGAAAAAGAAGGTTTGTACAGTATGTCCCACGCAAACTCAGCTGTCATAGTGTTTGCCCTGCACTGTACTCCTGTCAAAGTTGTGAATGCTGCAAGTCTAACATCTAACATCTCTCTCTCTCTCTCTCTCTCTCTCTCTCTCTCTCTCTCTCACTCTCTCTCTCACTCTTTCAGCCCACACACACACACTTGCACAGAGTCACAGACAGGGTAATACAGGCAGCTATAGTCGTACCCGGCGAGTCCCTCTGCTCGCTAACAAACCAATCTTCTAGCTCCGTCTGAGCTGTTTGTGGGATTGTCAAATTTTCAGCTATAAGCACCTTTCAGTAGAGTCTTATGTATTTTGTTACCTTGACCAAAAAATGTTTATTCACTTTTTCGAGGCAATTTGAATGCATTTTTCTATTATTCATTTGTCCAACAAAAGTTTCATTAATTGATTCATTTTGTGACGTAATTAATTTGGTGTGAGAAGTGCTCAGTGCTGTCTGGTTTGTGCGCCAAGCATCCCAAGCTTATAGTGAATCAAAAACTAACCATTTATTTATTTCAAACTGATTTTGCTGCATCTATAAACAGAACTGCATTGAAGCTGCGTCACAAAGACACACTCAGAGAAGTACACACAGATATGTTACTGAATAAGCAGAGTGCTCCTATTCGTAGTTTTTAACTTATATCAAGTAATAGTTACCAACACCCTTACCTATTTGTTTGCTTTCTATACACTTCCTCACTTCACACAAACACATGCACATTCACTACACACTCATCTGTTTGTGTTTGCTCAGACTGTGGCATCACACAGTAATCTCCTTCTCCTAATCCATGTGTATGGAAACACACAAAGGCATGCACACATGAGCACAGAAGCACCAAACCATATACTAGCACTATATGTCTGTTTGGACACCTTTTAGGTTTGTGATCCACGGCCTCTTAAAGGACAGGGCTAGCAATATTCTATGTATTTCCTTATTGCACTCAAATCACGTGAAAAGACTAAAACCAACAGTGGACTGATCCTGCTAACAACAATTCCTCTGTGCCAAAGACCACCATTGTTGTCCAAAAGTGCCAGCACCATATATTGTAGATTATTTTAAATTAATCCCACTTACCGCCACCATAAATACTCAATAGTGCACCTAATGTATATAAAATAGTACACAAAAAGAGTCCCCAGCTGTTTCAGGACAGTACTGGGCCTTTTTATGAAAAGAAACTACGTATGTTTGACCTGTTTTTAAAGATTCATGTGTCCATAGAAACCAATGGGCCTTTTTCCCCGAGAGCAGCAGACACAGTAGGGAAAAAGGAAGCTACTGTGAGACGGACTAATGCATCATTGATTTTGGTCTTTTCACGTGATTTCTTTCAGATTTTATCAGAACAATATAGAATAATGCCAGCCTTATCCCTGAAGGACAGTTTAACTATCTTTCAACTGCTTTCCTCCATCTCTCTGACCTCCCTCATTCATTTTCATTCATTTTCTCTTCCCCCTTCCATTCCACCTCTCTGTCTCCACCGGATGTTGTAATCATTCACCCTCTCATCTCTCACCCCTCTCGCTATCTCTCGCTCCCTCTTTTAACATCTTGTTTAAATTGTGTCGTTAATGTCCCTTTCACCCCTCCACTCCGTCGTCCTCGCCTTCACCCCATTCACTCCCTTGTTTTATAATTCACCTCTCATCCCTTCTTTCTCCCTGCCACTTCTCAATGGCTTCATAATATCCCCCCCTCCTCTCTGTATCTCACTTTCCCGCTCTCCCTAACTCATTTACTTCTCATTCACTCTATCTCTCTTTCCTCCTTTCTTCTCCATCTATTGCCTTTTCATTCTTTTACTCCACCTCTCCATTCGCACCTAATATCTCCTCTCTCTCTACCTGAGATATTGAAGCTATAAAGACAGGTGTTCAGAAGAAAGCAGAACCAGCAAATCTGTTTTATATGCCTCATGGTATCATTCCCTGGAATGCAGTGAGAGAAGAAAAAGCTGTGGTCTGTAATATCTAATTCTCAGCACCTTTTATGTTGACTATATTACCTTGAGTCCAAGAGAGAAGAAGAACCTAGTTCTCTATAAAACCTTCAACCTTTTGTCTTCACCACTTTGCACACACACATACACTTCACCCTCCTTCCATTATATTTTGGATTTAATGGCACTCTTTTACTCGTTCTTCCACTATGTGAGAACATGGTGTGCACCCTCCTTTTACAGGTCATCGTGGCTCCAAAATGTGTAGATGACATACAGTAATGTCCCATTGTCTAAGGTACAGCTTTTTTCTTGAAGAAATAGTTATGTGTTCTGCAGTTTTATCTGATAAGAAATGTGTATTATCAACAAAGGCACCATTTTCTCCAGTGGCAATGGTATGATAGGCTACGTTTAAATGGACTATTTTCAGAGACTCAGCGTTAAGCAGACCCTGAAGGGACTTTATAATGCTGCATGTAAGTTACAACACTCAATCACCTGAATCATATCTCACCCCACATTATGTATAAATGAGAGTCATTTACAATATTCAGTGTGTCTTACAGAGAAAATGGCTTGTGAGTATGTCTGCATGTGTGTGTGTTAATGGAGCTTGTTGACATTTGGGGTTTAGACGGCTTCTTTAAGGAGCACCGCGGCAGCTGGAATCTCCCTGCTGAATAGACTGGGATAATCTCCAAGAGAGGGACACTGTGTGTGTGTGTGTGTGTGTGTGTGTGTGTGTGTGTGTGTGTGTGTGTGTGTGTGTGTGTGTGTGTGTGTGTGTGTGTGTGTGTGTGTGTGTGTGAAGGTGACACACACACACACACACGGTATGGAAAAAAGAGAGGAATGGGAATAAGTGGTGGAAGAGAAAAAATGAGATGTGGGAGTGAGAGAGAAAACCAGTGAGATGAAGAGTAAGAGAGGAAGCTGGAGAGATTGAACTGTCAGCAGCTTGACTTAATCTTTTTTTTTTTTCAAGATGGAGATGAGACTTGACTCTGTATATGTGTGACTCTGTGTGTGTGTGTGTGTGTGTGTGTGTGTGTGTGTGTCTGTGAGCGAGACGACTCCATCCTGTTTTGAAGTAACCTAATCTGGGATGGAGACCTTGTCCACCCCCCAAAAGAACTTCAGAAGACTGAAACTCTAAATCCCTAATAACTAGCCTTTGTCAATCCTAAATTACCCCTGTATCACAAACACACAGAAACTCACTCACAGACAGTCGTATAAGGAAAAGCAAATAGCTTATGGGTGCACATTGCACATGCTTAGGCTCACAGTTTTGCAGTTTATTAGTACTTGAGGCAGAGAAATAAATAATTTTGGTTTAACTTAAATATATAAAAACTTTGTGATTCAAGTACACCCACAAACTATCCAACTTTGTCTCTTTACCAGATGCCAGGCAGAGGGACAGATCATCGGTTGGCACCACGTTATGAAGAGGTGGAACGTCAGTATGCCTCCTTACCAAGGTACTGCTTATTCTCCCTCTTTTGTATAAGATCCAAAAAGTAAATGTTTTAACTCAGGTATCACTGCTTTCTGTTTTCTTCTTCTTCCTCCTCTTCTTTTGTCCTATCCTCCTCTTTTTGAAGCCTCTAATTAAATCTGTGTAGTCTGTGTGTCTTTCCGAGTGTCTCTGGAGGCCTCAGGCTCAGCCAGGATCTCACCTTATCCCGTCCCTGGGGAACACACATTCAGACAGGGGTTGAAAACCGATACTCCTAGATCTGCACCCCCACCAAAACTTGCTCTGCCTTACACACATGAGTAGCCGTCATGAGTGGATTCTCTGCTGTTTTATTTATTTATTTACTCTGTCATTTTAAACCTCGGCTATCATAGTTTGGTGTCTGTGTATGTTGCATTGAACAAGTGAAGCAGCAAATTTCAATAAAACGTTTTAATTTTGGCAACAGTCTTGTTGGCACAATTTTAATAACTACACTCTACTGGAAATGTTGCGTACATTATTAAAGGATAAGGAACTCATCGTGCATTTGGCTCATGTAATACAGCATGTTCTCTGCTATTCAGATCAGCAACATGAGCTGATGTCACTAAGACACTTGATTTTCAGTATGTCCTCACTGAACAGCTTGTGTAGTGTTACCACATGTTTGCACAGAACAGCCATTACTAGATTTTAAAGTTAAAGATAGCTTTTGAAATTCAGATTTATCAACAATTAAACCTCTTATTGTTATATTTAACTAAAATATCCATTAAGCCTTGTTAGTTTCCTAGTCATGTGATTTAAGAGATGAAGATTTTTTGTTTTTTGTTAAATTATCAAAAGAACTTCTTTATTCTAAGTGGGATGTTTTTGCATTAGCTTTACACAACATATTTGTGATGTTGTTATAATGAATTAATAATTTATTACGTTTCTCTTTTTTTCATTGTTTCATTTTTATTTTCCAGTCCACTCTAAGGGAGTTTTTCACTTTCTGTTGAATTCAGTCAGACTAAGTATTTCACAGTTTCTTTCTATATATTCAGACAGTTTAAAAGCCAGGAGGCAGGTGAGTAGAGGACACAGGAGAGACAGCTCTGGTCAAACTTGACAGTCAAGCAGGGAGCTTAACCACTCGACTATCTCTGTGCAGCATGCGTTAGCCTATTTCCTGGTGCATTTTGTTGTTTTCCTCCCTGGACAGCATGAAATATCACTAACATTAGCCAACACAAGAACAATAACAGCTTCCTGAGTATACTAATCAATTCTTTAAGGATTGTTTCTATTTATTTCTCATGATGTGTTTTCTGATGTAATAGCTGTTTAAAAGATTTTTTTAAAATTTGCTTGGGTTGTGTATGAAACCGCAGCTGTTCACTGACCAGTTAAACATCTCAATGTGAAACACAGTCGAAGACATACTATATTTTCCAGCCATCATCAGTCACTCCCGGTCTTTCAGCATCTCATTTTTCATTTGCAACCTTTCCACTTTCACTGCCTGAAAGGCCTCGACTTTAATTCTCTTCTCTTTCTTCACTCTTTCACTGTCTTAACATCTCCATTTTTTTCTTCTCCTTTACTCTTTCTTAATTCCCTCTCTTCTCCTTCACATTCCCTATTTTCTGTATCATTTTTTCCCGTTATTTTCCAAAGATAAATAATACTGCAGTAATGTACTTATGTAAAGCCCCTTAACACGCCTGATATCACTGTACTGTACAGTCTTTCTGTATCTAAAAATAAGATGTATTCAAGTGAAAATAGAAGTGGAAACTTTAACAGGAAAAACTCAGAGTAGTTGTTACTAGCTGCTTCTCACCCCATTTTATTTTCCTTCTAAGAACCAACACCTCAGCAGACAAACAAGCCAACAACAAATGTTTGTTTGTGTGCGAATGTGAGAGAGAGAGAGAGAGTGAGGAAGTCAGTGAGTGGAATGACAGACAGAAGTTAAGAACGTTACAAAGTTTATAGCCAGGTTCCCACCCCTGTTAAAATGGTGAGGGATGGCTATTTCACACCTCTTTCGTGTGTGTGTGTGTGTGTGTGTGTGTGTGTGTGTGTGTGTGTGTGTGTGTGTGTGTGTGTGTGTGTGTGTGTGTGTGTGTGTGTGTGTGTGTGTGCGTGAGAGAGAGAGAGAGTGTCTGTGTGTGGGTGATGACTTTGGCAGATGGGAGCGAGAACAGTGATGATAGTTTTGAGGTCTGGCTGTGGTATCTGAAAAGCCTTGGGAAATTGGACACACACACACACACTCACATACAGTACACCCTGTCTCTGTTTCCACTTTCAGACATGCACTGTAATCCGAAAAATGCTGTGCCAATTTTACATGTAGGCCTCGTGTTTGAAAAGGACCCGAGTGATTTTTCCATAAAAGTCACTCTGACAATCTGCCTACTTACAACCTGGTAACAGTTCTGAAACATTTTCTGCATGGACCGTCACACTGCCAATGATATAGTTGTCTTACATAAGCTGATTTCTTCATTCATATATACATATATATATTATTATGATTTTTTAATTTATGAGTGCAATTAGTACAAAAAAGTGACAGATTAGAAAGACATAGATGTGACAGAATCTACAGATAATAACAGAAGATAGTAAGACATAACAAACGAGGTTAACAGTTTTATAATTCAGATTTGAGATAGATTTTAAGTGGATTTTTTTTATAGAAGGAGTACGGTATATGTTTGAATGTATGTATGAAAGTGTGTTGTGTATTAATAAATGCGTTAGTGGTGGTGTGTGTAAGTATGAGGGAGGGGAAGGGAAAATAAAGTACATATATTAAATAATAATAATGTTATTATAATTTATTATAATAGTAAATTAAATAGTAATGATGATAACTAAATGAAATAATTATATAAGTAATGTATAAGTGTTTTAGTTATTTATTTACTTTTTTACATTGGATGTTTTGCCATGTAGCACACAAACCAAGAATGGGAAGAGAGGCTTTAATGGCTGTAGATTTTGGCCAGCAGATACTCTGAAGAGAGACATTTCAACGTCACCCAAGCTAAACTACTTTGAGGTAACATGTATGTTATACCTTTTTCGTTATATGTATAGTCTCACGTTGCTGATGCCAACTATTGCACTTCTATCCATAACAACCTCTTATATTCGAGATGAGTTAATATATTTTGCACACACCAATCTGAAAGCCAAAAAGCTGTGACTAAATAAACAGATTAACCCAGAAATGTAATGTAATCTAAAAGGGACCCATCTTTCTCTCCTTCTGTCTTTATTTATCTCTCTCCCTTCCTCTGCATCTCTGTCTACACGTTTCTCCTGCTGTTAGTTAACTCAAGATATTTTGGCATCTAGAGAGTCAGAGAAAGAGCTCATGTTTGGAAACCACATCCAGGCTGTTGACCTTATCAAAACATATTATTTTGCCACTGGCCCAGAAATAGCTAGCAGGCTGTGTGTATCTAGTGTCTGCATGCCTGTATACCTGTGTGCATGTGTGGGAGAAACCATCTTTGTGTGTGTGTGTGTGTGTGTGTGTGTGTGTTGTGTGTGTGTGTGTGTGTGTGTGTGTGTGTGTGTGTGTGTGTGCATGTGTGTTTTTGTGACTGTGCATTTATATTATTCCTAGTGAGTCCAAAAATAGCTGTGGGGTTGCTTAGTCAGGTACTGTATGTTTGACTCAAAGTCAGTTAACTGGAGCAGTGAGTGAGTGAGTGAGTGTGTGTGTGTGTGTGTCTATGTGTGTGTATGAGAGAGCGAGAGAGAGAGAGAAGATTTTGATGGCTCTAAAATTAAAACATGACCCAGCAGTAGATGATGTTTCCCTGCCTAAAGCACAAACACTACCTAACAAACTATCAGCAAATATCGCTGCATACAGTCTGCTGAGGGTATATTATATATTTTGTTGCTCCATGAAACTCTTCAGTGTTTAGACAATTATTTAGAAATAAAAACAAAAAGATACACAGGCATTTAAGTCATTAATGCACATTTTATCCAGGTGTTTTTTGACCATTAGCAGCTTGTAACCCATTTAGACATTTAGTATGTCTCTATATGAGCTGTGGTCAGAATTCAGAAAATAACATTCTTAACTATCTAACTCCTACTTAAAGTATTTTCTTTAGAGCTGAAAGATGGAAAGGGAACATTGACAACATAGAAAATGAAAGCAGGAAGGACATAACAGCGTATGTCCTTTCACTCCAAATCCCCCAAGGTCTCCACTCACTGCCATTTTCTTGAAATTACCGCTCCATCCTCTTCACCCCCCGTCCTCCACATCTCACTTTCTTTATGTATTTGACCATTATCCTATACCTCTCTCCTTCCATCTCACTTTCTCTCAGTGGTGTTATTATACTGAAACAAAAGAGCCCTGTTCATAGTGTGTGTCCCTATACCTCTGCTCATGTGAGAACCAGTTTGTATTTCAAACACTGGAGGACATTTGTTGAGGACTAAATTTAGAATTTAGATTTGTGTGCTTCAAGAGCAGGTATGTAACAAAGCTGCTTATTTTCATTTTGAGTGTCAAGAGACTGACTGAAACAAAGAGAGAAGGTTGTGTGTGTGTGTGTGTGTGTGTGTGTGTGTGTGTGTGTGTGAGACATTCAGTAAGGAAAGTTGTTAAAAGGTTTTTATCTTTATCTTTATCTGAATGCATGAATCAGTTTGAAACAACCTTTGTGTATGGGATTGTATGCACTTGTGTGTGTGAGTTTCGGTCATTCTGAGGTCAGTAGGTAGCTTTCAGAGTGTGTGCATGGTCGACATTAGCAGGTTGTGCCCCTTCCATGTGTGCACCATTAATGCTCCATTTACATACGCCCATATTCTTTTTCTCCCATACGTTCGCACAGACAGACACTGGTAGCCATGCTTGTTTTCGCCTATACTTTTCTTTATATTAAAAGAACCAAAGAAAGAAAGAAAGAAGAACTTTTGGGAGCCTATGGGAGGACAATTACCATCATAATGACAAATAATGACAGTTAAATTATATGGGGGTGT